TTCTGTGATTCTGTGATCCTACATTAAAACTTTCCATAGAGTGTAACACAACCATAAAATCATAGAATCCTCAGAGCTGGAAAGAACCCTGAAAGTTCATCTAGTCCAACTCCTCGGCAATGAACAGGGATATTTACAGTCAGATCAGGTTGCTCAGAGCCTGGTCCAGCCTGACCTTGAATGTCTCCAAGTATGGGGAATGTATGACCTCTCTGGACAAACTGTTCCAGTGCCCAAGCACTTCTATTGTAAAAAAACATCTGTCTTACATTGAATCTAAATCTCACCTTCTTTAGTTTGAAACCATTTCCCCTTGTCTTATCACAGCAGACTCTGATGAAGAGTCTGTCTCTTTCTTTCTTATGGCCCTTTAGGGATTGAAAGATGACTATTAAATCTCCTTGGAGCCTTCTCCAGGCTGAACAGCACCAGCTCTTTCAGGCTGTCCTTGTAGGAGATCCTTGGATCATTTCTGTAGCCCTCCTCTGGATGTGCTCTACCAGATTGATGTCTCTACTGTACTGAGGACTTCAGATGTGGTCTCAGCAGTGTAGAGAAGAGGGGTAGGATCACCTCCCTTGACCTGCTGGCCATGCTTCTTTTGATGCAGCCTAGGCAACAGTTGACTTTCTGGGCTACATCAATGGCTCATGTCCACCTTCCATCCATTCACCAGTATACCCAAGTCCTTTTTGGCAGGGTTGTTCTCTATCCTTTTGTCTCCATGCTTTGATAATGGGCAATGACACAATTCAAGTGCAAGACTTTGCACTTGGATTTGCTGAATCTCATAACGTTATCCTGGGCCCGCTACTCAAGCCTGTTTAGGTCTCTCTGAATGGCAAAAGGTCCCTCAGGTATATTGGCCATACCACACAGCTTGGTGTCATCCACAAATCCACTGAGGGTGCACTCGAACCCACTGTCAGTGTCACTGATGAAGATGTCAAAGATCACTGGTTCCAGTTCTGACTCATGAGGGTCATTAATCTCCATCCAGACATTGAACCACCGCTCTCCAGGAACAATCTTGCAACCAGTTCAACCTTTCAACCTACCCATTAAATCCATATCCAGCCAATATCCATCCAATTTGGAGAGAAGGATGCTATGACGGTCCATGTCAAATGTCTTACTAAAGTCCACACAGGTGACATCATTGGCTTTTCCCATGTCCACTGACACAGTTATGCCATCATAAAAAGCCACTAGGTTGGTCAGGCAGAACCTGCCCTTGGTGAAGCCAACCATGCTGGTTATCCCATTTCGCCTTCCGTGTGCCTTAGCATAGCTTCTAAGAGAATCTGCTCCATGATCTTTCCTGGCACTGAGGTGAGACTAATACCTTGGTAGTTCCCTGGGTCACCCTTTCTACTCTTCTTAAAATTGGATGCAATATACCATGCTGTCTTGCTCCAATTAGCAGAGGAGAGATGATTTCTGATATATGTATATACACCCAGAGTGAGATTAAGATGTTTTTGGATTCAGATGTTGCCCAACATCTGACATTTATTATACATTCATCATTAGTTAGGCCTGGAGGGGGGGGGAGTTGAAGAATGCAATAGTAAAAATTAAGTAAAAATAGTAAGAAGATAGAAAAAGCAAGGGTTCATTATAGAAAAGCAGAGATATAACACCACTGCAGTTTCACAGTGTTCCATGATTCTCCCAGTAAGCAGTAGAGATGGGGGGGGTCGCATCTTCTCTCTTGGTCAGTGATGGGATGTTCTAATCAAGGCGGGAAAAGATGAAAAAGGCATGAGTCTTTTGTTTGCAAAGTCCTTATAAACTGTCCGGTCTTTCTCTGGTTTCTCCAGAGAAATGGTAATGGTTTTTTTTGCACATTCGATACTACACCTACCTACATCTGGGAATTCAGGGCCCCTCACCTTAGGATCATCCTGTCTCATCTCAGGAGTAGCCTAGAATGTAATGTGAGCTGGGATTCTCCTCTTATATTCATTGTCCCTGGCAACCATATGGTTGGTTGAAGTGAGGTCTATCCAGTAGGAAGGCTTGCAGAAACTCAGGCAGACTTTGAGACAAAAGAGTCTTTGTACAGTATCTTCCACACGCATTTCCGATTTAGCATTTTCCTTAGATATCTGCTAGCAGATAATTTAAAACCATGTGATGGATATTAGTAGTGATGACTGTAGTAGAAATGCTAAGTCACAGCTTGAACCAGCGATTGAACATCCGATAGGAAGGCAGGGCCAGCTCAGGAGAGCTCACGTGCAAGCAATGCATCTGAGTGACTGGAAGGGGTGAAGCCAAGATCCACTCCTTTACAGACATCATTTAAGGGTTGGCAGTGTAGGTGAGAAAATTTTATCTGGAGATCTGTATGCACCTGAGGACCTTATAGGCCTTTTGAAGTTAAGTAATTTCTCTTATTTCTGTGCCTTCTGATATCACATCTAAGCAGATTCTCACTTGCTGTAGCCTAAGATCTTGCTGCTCTGCTATCGCAGAATGGCCTGGGTTGGAAGGGACCTCAAGGATTGTGAATCTCCAATCCCCCGTGCCACAGGCAGGGCCGCCAACCTCTCCATTTAATACTAGGCCAGGCTGCCCAGGGCACATCCAATCTGGCCTTGAACAGGGACAGGGCATCAACAACCTCTCTGGGCAGCCTCACCTCTTTCCAGCACCTCACCACTTTCTCTGTAAAGAACTTCCCCCTAAAGACATCCAGCCTAAATCTCCCCTCCTTCAACTTAAAACCATTTCCCCTTGTCCTGCTGTTACCCATCTTTGTAAAGAGTTGGCTCCCCTCCTGTTTATAGGCTCCCTTCAGGTACTGAAAGGCTGTGATTAGGTCACCTCACAGCCTTCTTTTCTCCAGACTGAACAAGCCCAACTTCAAAACTTTGTATTGATCTATTTTCTTGATCAACTATGCCCCATAGAAGTCTAAATATACTGTGCTTGTGCGCACACATCAATTTTTTCTGTAACTAAGACAAAAAAAAACAAAACACTTTAGCCATTGTTCTGCACTGTTCAGGCCTAAGAATCCTATTAATGAGAAACAAATATTAAAGAAATTTCCACTAATTAATTAATTGTTATTTGATTATCTTGATTCAATTTCTTTATAGCACACCTTACTTGGGGCATAGATGTGAAAAGTTAAACTCTTAAAATTCACCTGTCTTCCTCTGCTAACAGAAGTGATTTAATACAAATAAGTTACTCTGTGTAAAGAAATCCTGTTACTGAGACACTGTATTAGTGGCTTTTATTTATTTCAAGGGGGGTGAGTAACTGTTGTGTAACAGACTGACAATAGAAACAGAGTTCCTGTGACAGCTGATGAACTCTGATAGTTAAGATTCAAATGACCTTGACCATAATTGCATAGTATGTTGTGCAGTTATTTGCACTTGCAATGACCGAGAGCAAGGAAACAAACAGAAAGTGCACTCATTATCACAGGGGAACTGCTTTGAGTTTTGTGGCTTAGTGCTGCATCTCTGAGCTACAAATTGTGAGTCCTCTTTTAATAGCTGAGATATTGGATGATGCAGCATGCCAGGAAACCAATCTGATCAGCCCTCCAGTAGACTATTTTGATAATCCTGATTCTCATCAGGTGTCTCTTTGGGTTCATCAGTTTCATCATAATGAAGCACAGTAGACAGTTCATCCATTGGCCATCTCTCCTTGATTTCTCTCTATTCTATCCAGTTTTTCAGTTACTTTTGAAATGGCTGAAACATAAGCTTGTAGAGAGGTTAAATGTAGCTCAAAGTCATGAAGTCTAGTAATCAGTTCATTTTAAAGGGGTCATCTTTGTCTTCTGCCATGCATGGCAGTTAATGTACCAGCATACTTTTCTGGTGAATATGTGAATTTACACCACATATTCGGTGTACACCTGACTCTCAGGATCAACCTGACTCCTGGTTTGGATCATCAGGAATGAAAGTGGAGTCTGGCAACATTTCCACCATAGTGCATTCTTTCAAAAAAAAAAAAGGATGCATTTTTCCATAGTAGTCCATAATTTCTTTATCTCAGGCATCAGATCATCTTTGAAGGAGTATTTTTCCTTCATGGCTAACAGCACCTGCTTCCAGAGGGTGAAAGCCTCATCCTGACATCTACTAGTACTTCTGTCAGTGGCTGAATCCTTAGCAATGCTACCCAGTTGGCAAGCCCCTCTACTGTCTAGCAACATACTGTTGGCCCTGTTGGCCCAACATCGAAGTAAGCAGGTAGCAATGCGTTCATTTGGGTGGTGTGAAAAAGTCTTTTCTTGAACCTCAAATTTAGATGTTGTCTACCTGGATTCTAGTAAAGCATTCGCCACTGTTTCCCACAGTATTCTGGAGACATTGGCTGATCATATCTTGAACAGGTGTACAGTTAGCAGGGTAGAAGCAGCTGGATAGCCAGACTCAAAGAGTCATAGAGAATGGAGTTCAATCCAGTTGGTGACTGGTCACGTCTATTTAACATTTTTATCAGGTGCATCTTCAGTGAGTTTGCAGATGATACCAAGTTAGGCAGGACTGTTGATCTACTTGAGGGTAGGAAGATATTGCAGAGGGAGCTGGATATGCAAGACTGATTGGCCAACTCCAGTCACATAAGGTTCAACAAGGCTAAATCCACCATTTAAGTCCATGAAGCAGTTACAGGGAAAATTATCAGGAAAATTTCCCAATAGAAAAGGAGTGTGTCAGTCTCTTTTCTCAGATGACAAGTGACAGGAAACAAGGAAATGGTCTCAAATTGCACTAGGAGAGGTTTAAATAGGATATTAAAAAGAATTTCTTCACAGAGAGGCTGGTCAAGTATTGGACAAGCTGACCATGAAAATGGTGGAGTAGTGCCCATCCCTGGAAGTATTTAAGGGATTTATGGACAGGGCACTAAGGGTTAGTGATGGGACTCAGTAGGTGATGTTGATTGTTAACAATCCTGAGGATCTTTTCCAACCTAAATAATTCTACGATTCAATGACTGTTCTGTTCGTGTTGCAGAAAAGGTACCAGGAAGAGGCTGACAACCGCAGAAGCTACACACTGGTTTTCAGTACAGGTAAACATCTTTGAAGCTCTCCTCTTCAGTGCTTGAGAGGAAAGAAGCAAAGCTTATTTGACTGATCAGATGACCTTTAACTAATACTGTATTTGGAAGGAGCAAGTGTCACTAGATAGAATATTTGAAGTTATTTGGTCTGTGTTTGTCTACATGAAATTAATATTAAATTAGCATGAGTGAACTTTTATTCCTGTCCTTAAAACTCTACCTATGAAATATTCTTTTCTTGAGATGTTTATTTTCATCATACAAAAATCAGATATCTTTTTATCAGTTTCATATTAACAATTGATTGAGGTGTAAATAGGTGAAAGTACCCATTTTTCTCTATTGTTGTTGCTGTTTTTTTTTTCCTAGGGAAGATGCGTTTGCCATTGTTATTTTTACTGAAATAACAAGAATTACAACCATTGCTTCAACAGCTGTTGAATTCAGGCAGTTGCTACTGATATGTTTTGTGGGAATGTCTCTGCTTTCTGAAACAGGCTTCGACTTTATTAGATGATGAAGTAGAGTTCTCTCATAATGACCTGACACAGCAGAAAATTCTGCCTATATAGAGGTGTATATGGGGGAGAATTTTAATGAGTTACTGTCAACAAAAACAAATCTTTTAGCACTGACTCTGGTACAGAGGAAAAAAATACCAGCAGTTAGACAAACGTATTACTGTGTTTTGTTGCCTCCCCTGCCCCCACGTTTTGGCTTTCCTTCTTTTCAGTGTAAGATGCACTCTGCCAGGCTTCATCCAATGAACAAACAGCACAGAGGCTGAGGCAGTGCGCACAGTGCCTTCAGGCATCTTAACTATTATGGTATCTGCCACTTGGTACATAATGTTTCCAATTTTCCTGCAGATAGGGATTCTAGCTGTACTGTTCCTTGACCTGTAAGATCATCTAGTTCCAACCTCCTACTGTAGACAGGGATACCTCCCACTAGACCAGGTTACTCAAAACCCCATCTAGCTTGGCCTTGAATGCCTCCAGGATTGAAGCATCCACAACTTCAATGGGCAATCTGTTCCAGTGTTTCACTACTCTCACCTAAAAAAGAGAGTAACAATTTAGTAATAATTAGATTTAGGCTAGGTATTAGCCTAAATCTACCCTCATCCAGTTTAAAGCCATTTCCCCTTCTCCTGTTGATACATGCTCTTCTAAAAAGTCCCTTTCCAGCTTTTCTGTAGGACCCCTTCAGGTACTGGAAGGCTGCTATGAGGTCTCCCTGGAGGGAAGAGCCCCAACTCTCTTAGCCTGTCCTTGTAGGGACCTTGCACTAAGCCTTGTTGAACTTCATGAGGTTGGTATGGACCCAGCTCTCAAGCTTGTCCAGGTCCCTCTGGATAGCATCCCTTCCCTCTGGTGTGTCAACTGCACCACTCAACTTAACATAATACGCAAGCTTGCTGAGGATGCACTCAATCCCATTGTTCACATCACCTGTAAAGATGTTAAATAGCACCAGTCTCAGCACCGATCCCTGAGGAATGCCACTTGTCACCAGCCTCCGCTTGGACATTGAGCTGCTGACCGCAACTTTCTGAGTGTGGCCATTCTGCCAATTCCTTCTCCAGAAAGTGGTCCATTCATCAGATCCATTTTTCTCCAATTTTTCAACAAAGATGTAGCACAGAACAATGTCAGATGCAGTGCCAGAATCAGCAAACAGCAATCCAACAAGACAGAGGATGTGTTAGTGTCAAAGAATATCGGAGGCTGACAGTTCCCACTTCTACTTGCTGACCACCTGGCTGGCTAAAGCCTTCTAGAAGTAAAATTAGTCACATCTACCTTTTTTGTGATTGATTAAATAATTGCTTTTAAGGTGTACAGAGAGATGGCTAGGACCTGGCCTAGGTCATAATAAATAACAAAGTGAGAAGCTAATATTTACAGGTGTGTAATGGCTGACTTCACAGCTGGTTAGGAGGGAGTTATATGCAAATCTCACAGTTAAATTCACAGATAAGGACTTTTTTGCAAGTAGAAATTGAATAGTCAGTGGTAACTGTATTAATACCACTAATAATGTGTAAATCCAAAGCGACATACGTGTTCTCAGAAATATAAAATATATGTGGTTGCAAATATGGCAAAACTGGGACCATTGGTGAGGAAGCAACAAGAAACAAGTTTCTTCTTCAAGAGGTGAATGGTAGAGAAAGATTGGGAGTCATGGTGGGTGTGGGAAGAACAATCATGAGAAAAATCAAAATGAGGTGTAAGAAAAAGGACCATTTGTAAGCAAGCAAGCTGTTGGTCTGACTGCTTATCTGATTCCTGCACTGTATAATTATCTTTGCATTAAGTCTTATTTCTAACTAATTTCTGCATTACCCTGATCAGCTAGAAAGCAAAAGGATTTCATTGTGTATTCATGATTGTGTGTATACAGGTGATGAGCCGTGAAGGCATTGCTCTTTGTTTTCTGTGCAGCTGACATCAATGCTCTGTATGAATCTGCATCTTTGAAATATGTACTCAGTTTGGGTTTTTCTTTGACCTTTAAAAAGAGGAACAGAAGCTCCATATCTATCAAGCTGAGGTAGGAGATACGTCCTAGATCTTAGACTGCATCAGATTCATCTCTAGTGGATAAACACAAATAAATCCTTTGGATCTTAGGATTCAGCCTCTCCTTAGCATTGTCTGCCCTTAAGTTACGCATAACCCACTTGCAAGATCTCTGTGCATGCTAAAATACATCCTAATAAGAGTGCTGGTAGAGTAGTGGTAACAGTGACTTCCTCCTGCTCACTCTCCTCTCCGTGTCCCTTAGTTTTTTCTGTTGCCTTTCTCGATGATGGTAGTTCTGGGGATGGCCCCTTGCCTGGATCTTCCTCTCCCTCTTCCACTTCTTTCTGTTCTGGACACGACAACACTCATTTCCATTTCTGGCCTTCCACAGGGGCAACTGACATTGATACTGGTGCCTTCTGTGACTGATCAGGTTTGGCTTGCAGACTTCCCTCTTTGTCTTGAGTCATAGCACAGAAACTCTCTCTCTCTGAAACAGTATTATATAGAGCTCAGTAAGCACAAGCCAAACCTCAAGTAAGTCGTACCTCCTCAGATCTACCTAATCTAGATTATCCCTGACTTAAATACTTGCTTAGTGTCTCAGGATCCCACAGGTGTTCAAGAGTGAAATACCATGACACCAGGGGTCCCCATGCTTCTAAGATTTCTCCTAAACCTCTCCATATTCCTTGTCACACAGCGTTCTCCAGTTTTGGAGAAAGCTTCCTCCAGATAATATAAATTATTATTAGGAGGAACAAATTCAGGGGAATTAATAACATGACCATTAATTTGGCATTTCAAAAATGCATAAGGAACCAGAACCAAGAAGAGAACTGGGAAACTGGTCTAAATATCGAGCTGTTTGTAAAATTAGCTACTCCCTCTGTGATGTAACTGTTAATGTTCAAATCATACAGCACTGCTTATAGGTACCAGGCAGGTGTCTCCATCAGTGCTCTTACTTGGTTATATACATATACAACTCCAAAACAGAACATGATGAAATTAATAAGAAACCAGTAAGTTCCAAAAAACATAATGGCCTTTAATCCTTTATAGAGTGCTCCTAAAATAAAGAAGATTCATAGCTGGCAGATGCTAAAAGGAAAAAAACTTGGTACAGTGTCCAGAGTCTGGCAGACCACCCAGCCTACAATCTAATCTATGAAGGCCAAGGCTAGCTACAGCACTCTGCAACTCTCTAACTTTAAGAAAGCCTTTATTTTTCTACTAACTTTACAAGGTTCAGATTCAGTTCAGATTGCCCACATTCTCCACAGTCATGGAGTTATCTCTGGATCTATCTTTGTCCATGACAGGGCCCACAGGCCAAAGAGGGGAAAGTGTGTCAACAGTTTATGGGCCGGTTCAGCCAGGTTTTGTGACTAACAGGGTGGGGGAACCACAGACAGATGCCCCCAAGAAAAGGGGTAAAGGGGAAGGGTAGGGAAATGGGCCTAAAAACAAAACAGCAGGAATGATCTGGGAGAAAAGTTACTCATGATGTTGGAATGCAAGATAACACAATAAAATACAATATATAATTGGAACTGAGGCTTATAAATCAAATAAAATGAGAGAAAGAGTATCTGAAACCGAAGGCCTTACTCTGAATTGAAGGTGAAATGACTGGAGAGCATACCCACACACTGTCAGGCAGTGTAAAAGAAAGGTCCTATGACTTGCAAGTTTTATCTTTCCCTCTGAATGCAAAGTTCTCTGGGGTACATAGTTCTTCTCTTCGGAGAACCAGGTATCCACAAAATCATCAGTCCATGGAACTGAAATATTAACTCTCGCTCCCTGTGCTTTACATGATGTTAAGATGTGGAAAACAAATAACAAAATTCCTAAAACCATGACACCTGGAAATGACAACAGCTACAAAGAGCATCCTTTCCCCCCAAACTATTTTTGGGCTTGTGGGCCTGCTGTTCCCCTGTCACAGACAGGGATAGATCTAGAGATAACACAGTGAAAACAGGTTTTAGCATTAGACCCTGGAGAACCTCAAGGCCAATACAGGGTTTGGTATGGACACCAGTGTGCCATACTGGTGGGGAGGAGCTTGCTGCAAGAAGAGGTCTCTCATTCCTGCTGAATACTTAACCAGGACTCTCAAAAGCATAAATTGTCTCCTTCAAAATTATATCAGAGAACTGAGAGTGAAGTTCCTCCATTCAAGTCCACAGACCAGTATTTATTGGTATGTCACATTTGTTTGGCCGCATGGTTTTACACACCATCATTATCCATTGAATTAGTGAATGATTTTCCTCATTATGTATTACAGTTGCATACAGTGTTTCTCTGAGGGCCAGTAACGGATGCAAGTTTAGAAATGTCAGGATCACGCTTTCAGCCCCATGTCCCATAATCTCAAGAGCCAAGTTGGTATGCCCTCTCATGTTTTTTGCTTAAATCGCTGTAACAGATCCATGAGTTTGGCAGCTTGTGTACCAGCACACCATTACATGTAATGTGGTGTGGGTGGGGGGCCACACCTCAGGTGACAACCCCACTGGTCAATCTTGGACTTTCTTTGTTTTTTAAGTTATTACTGATCTTATTTCTAGAGGACCTCAGGTTCCCAGATCCTCTACTTGGATTTTAGTCTGCTTGGCTTTCTTTTTATTCTTAGATTCAACCAGGATCCAAGAATCCTGCTGATTTAAGTCCTTTTCCTCTTCTAATGATATAGTTCTTAATTTTGGAGGAGAAATGCCGTTTGAAGGGAAGGCAGTTTGCTCTATCAGAGATGTAGTTTCATTTCTCAGTTGTCTGATACAAGCCTTTAAAAGTTCGTTTTCATCTTTCAGTCCTTCCTCAGAGTAATGATACACAGTATTAGACACTATACTACAGCAGATGCTACTCTTTCCTCCAGTTAGGAAAGTTTGTTCTCATTTTTTCAAAATGTTGGCCATTTTCAAAGGGGATTTAATAATGGGACCATTGTCCCTTATAGGTTCCCATTCTTCGATGATAACTCATCCAGACAAGGGGAACCCAGGAATCCCAGATCATGTATCTGTAGCCATAAAAAATGGTCTTTGCAGTCTTGAAACTCCAAGCTGTGGGGCACAGTATACATGCCCAAGGGATGGAAGCCATTCAGAGAGATCTAGACAGGTGCTATGGTTTTATGACTTTTGTTATTGGTATTACACATCATAACACCATGTAGAGCATTGAGAGTTAAAGACTTAATGCTCTAGTTTCATGGATTGTCAGTATTTCTGGGTACCTGGTTCTCAGAAGAGAAAAAGAACTACATCTTCCAGGAGGCTCGCTGTTCCATTTCTATTTTCCATTCAGAAGGAAAAGATAAAAACTCTCTGCAAGTCACAAAACATCTTTTTGTCTTTCCCTTCCTACTCATCTATGGTTGTGTGCTCCATAGCCACCTCACCTTCAGCATTAGAGTAAGGCCTTTGGTTTTGGACTCTCCCTCATTTTATTTGGTTTATTAGCCTCAGTCCCAATTATATTGTATTATATTGTGTTATCTTGCATTTCAATGTCATATTTAGTAAATTAACTTTCCTCCTGATTGTTGCCGCTGTTTTGTTTTTGGGCCCAAATCCTATTTCCCAGGCATGGGTCTTTGGGTCCCCCTGCCCTATTAATCACAGAACTGAGTCAAACCAGCATATAAACCAGTGACACCACCTCCCCACAAACTTTTTTTGGGCCTGTTGGCCTGCTGTTCCCCTGTCACAGACAGGGATAGATCTAGAGATAACACATTCAGCATTGGACCCTGGAGAACCTCATGAGGTTCAACAAATCCAAGGCTTTGCACGTGGGCAGAGACAGCCATCACTACCAGTACAAGCAGGGGGATGAAAGGATTGAGCACTGCCCTGCCAAAAAAGACACGGGACTGGTGATGGATGGGAAGCTGGACATGAGACAGCAATGTGCCCTCCCAACCCAGAAAGCCAACTGTATCCTGGGTGGCATAAAAAGAAGCATGGCCAGCAGGTCAAGGGAAGTGATCCTGCCCCTCTATTCTGTGCTGGTGAGGATTCACCTCTGGAGTACTGTGTCTACATGTGAGTTCCTGTTGGATCACATCCAGTCAAGGGGTACAGAAATGATCCAAGGGATGGAACACCTCTCCTATGGCAACAGGCTGAGAGATCTGGGGTGCTCAGCCTGAAGAAGAGAAGACTCTGAGGGGAACATGATAGCAGCCTTCCAGTATCTAAAGGGGAGCTATAGGAAAGAAGGGACAGACTCTTTAGCAGGGTGTTAGTGTTAGAACAAGGGGAAAAGTCTTCAAGCTCAAAGAGGGTAGATTTAGGCGGGATGTAAGGAAAAAGTCTTTTACAGTGAGACTTGTGAGGCACTGGGACAAGTTGCCCAGAGATGTGGTGTGATGCCCTGTCCCTAGAGACCTTCAAGGAAAGGCTGGATCAGGCTCCAGGCAACCTGTTCTAGCTGTGCATGTCTCTGTTTAGTGCAAGGGACTCAATGGCCTTTAAAGGTCCCTTTCAACTCAACCAATCCCGTGATTCTATTTTCAAATTCCTTTATCAAAACAAAAAGCACAGCTGTGTATTCTTTGCTTTTCAGAGCCCCATGTTTAGCCTGTGTATCAAAATGCACCATTGCCATCATGTGAGTCAGCACTGCACAGCACTGCCCCCCACACCCTGCTTTCAGTCAACGCAGCATTAATGGTGCACTGACTGCTTGACTATTGCTAAGCAATGGACAGGTAGCTGGGGCTGCTCCGCTGGAACAGCCACCACCTTTATGCGGTGGGAGCGGATGGGCCGCATTGCCTGCCGTGCTGGGCATCATGCAGCCCACAGATTGCACACAGCTGCCTTAGCTCCTTTAAGCAGCACCTTCAAACATAAATGAGTCATTCAAGTCTAGTCATTTGATTATAACCATCTTTCATTTGACAAGTATTTTATAAAACATTTTCTTGCGTAACATGTTACAATTAATGGCGTGGTGGGCTGTAAGATCTGTATGTTAGAATGATTCATCTTTCCTTCGTCAGTGCAGTATTTTAGGAGACATAATTGTGTATGAGATATCTACTCTGTCCATTTAGCACTTACATGCCACTTGTTTGTCTCAGCCAGATGGTTGTTTTCAATGGCTCTATGTTCAAGGTGGAAGCTGGTCAAGAGTGGTGTCCCCCAGGTGTCCAACATTTTAATCAATGACTGGGACCATGAGATTGAGTGTACCTTCAGCAAGTTTGCTGATGACACTAAGCTAAGTAGTGCAGTCAATACAACAGAAGGAAGGGGTGCCAGCCAGTGGGACCTGAAAAGGTTTGAACAGTGGGCCCATGACAATCTAATGAGGTTGAATCAGGCAAAGTGCAAGGTGTTGCATTTGAGTTGGGGGTAATCCTAGATACGAGTACAGACTGAGAGAAGAACTTGTAGAGAAAAGCACTACTGAAATGGACTTGGAGGTCCTGATGGATGAAAAACTGGAAATTAGCCAGCAGTGTGCTCTTGCAGCCTGAAAGGCCAGTGGTATCCTGGGCGGCATCAAAAGAGAGGCTGCTAGCAGGCAGAGGGAAGTGATTGTCCCCCTCTACTCTGCCCTTGTGAGGCCTCATCCGGAACATTATGTCCATGCCTGGGACCCCTAGTACAGGAGGGATGCAGAGCTGTTGGAGTGGATCCAGAGGAGGACCATAAGGATGGTGAGAGGGCTGTAGCACCTCTTCAGCAATGAAAGGTGGAGAGAGTTGGGATTGTTTAGCTTAGTGAGAAAGACTGCTTAGCTTTCTCATTGCAATCTTCCAGATCTTGAAAGGAGCTTACAAGCAGGAGGAGGACTGACATTTTACACAAGTGTATAATGACAGGACAAGGGGGATGGATTTAAACTGAAAGAGGGAAGGTTTAGGTTAGACATTCAGAAGAAATTCTTCACTTGGAGGGTGGTGAGGCTCTGGAACAGGCTGCCCAGAGAAGTTGTTGATGCCTTGTCCCTGGAGGGATTCAAGGCCAGGCTTGATAGGTTTCTGGCAGGCTGATCTAGAGGTTGGCAACACTGCCCATAACAGGGAGGCTGAAACTAGATGGTCTTTGAGATTCGTTCCAACGTAAGCTATTCTGTGATTTTATGATCATTTAAAAACAGAGCATTTTGCTTCCAAATGTATTCAGCAGACACTGAGAAAAATAAACAACCAAATAATGTCCTATGGTGAATAATAATGGTTTTTCAAGTACTTTGCCAAAATTCCTGTGAACAAAATCTTTGGTTTTTCCTTACTTGTTTCTCTTCCTCCATAACAAATTTTGGTTTTGCAGAGAGTAGTTACGAAAATAATCTTACATATCTAAAAATACATTTAACTCCCTTATGAAAAGTAAAGCTGTAGTATCTTGCTTTATTTTTAAATAATGGTAAACTGCAGATTAAAGCACACCATTTATTAGAATACTTTTTTTGTTTGTTTATTTCACGTAGCTCTAAAATTGGAGAACTGGAACCTGTGAGAATTAAAACTTCAAATAATTGATGATTTGCAGACAGAAATAAAGTTCCTGTTTGCAAGGCTTATACAAAGTAATTCAATGTAGATTTAATATTACAATCCACGCGTGAAAGAGATTCCATTTTCTACGGAAAATGCTTTAAGCTTATGATTATAGCATAGTTAGCAGAACTAAATTTTAAAACAAAATTGATTGTGGATAAACAATCAACCTTTTGAGCAAACACAATATCACTTGACATTGTCAAGTTATCTACAGTCCTATAGTTGGAGAGAAAACAGCCCTTTCACAAAGAACATGATGATGAGAGCTCCACTGCTAAACAGACAGTCACAAACAACTTTTACACCTATCCACTCACATTATGAAGTAATAATTGAATAAACCTGTTTTGCTTTGGAATAAAGTAACAACACTTGAAGTTTTTTTGTTTTGTTTTGTTTTTTGTTTTTTTTTTTGTAGAAAGTATTCCTATAGTTTTGTAAATGCTGTGGGAGTAACACATTTTAAGCAGTTTTACAATAATTTTAGCAAAAAATATTTTGTGTGGTTTTTCTTATCAGGTCTTATAGCCTGATACAAACAAACAAACAAAACACAAGTTCTTTTCCCCCAAAGGAAATTTTCCAATATTTCTTCACAGATCTACCCCATGGCTTAAAACAATTGAAATTCAGATTGTTACGTCATATGTCTTGTACTATGCCATGACTTCCCATCTGACACAGAAAAGAAAGACCTTGGAGCTCTTTGATCAGAATGAATTGCTATAGATACCATTTAGACCACTGCTTCAACTGTTACATATATATATGCTGCATTTGGGAACAGTGTAGCTCTCTTCTGTGCATCATAAACTACTCTTAGGATAAAAGCCTGAAATCCTGATCTGTTTTCATTCCAACTAGTCTTCTAGAGGCCAGCATTCTTTTGTCTAGGCTTTTCTGATGGCTTCCATGATTTTGAACTGTCAGTTTGCTCTCATACTAGATGGCTTAGATAGAGCATTACTCTTGGTGTTCACAGACAGATATGTGACTCAGAAGGAATCACTGGGCAACAGAGAATGTCCAGCATAACATCTAGAGCACAGAGTATTGTTTTAGGGGAAGAAAATAGGTGGGGACTAGAGAAAGTTCAGGAGAATTACTTTGCTTCTCACTTAAGCTTAAGGATTCTGTGCTAATGACAATCACTGGAGTGCATGATCTTGGTATTCTGAGTAAGAGATCCACGAGAAATAGATTCAGCATTCAGTAACATTCAAAAATGAAAATCAAGTGATAATTAAGAAAGGCACAAGAAAAACCGTCCCCAATCTTATAACAAATGTTTTCTCATTCTTCCATATCTAAAGGAAATAGGAAAAAAAGAAAAAAGAGGGAGAGAAAAGAAATCTAGAAGAGATGCTGTAGTGGAAATGCTAAGTCACATCTTGAAACAGTGATTGAGCAGCTGGTAGTAAGGGTTGACAACGGAGGCAAGGGTATCTCCTTCTGGAGAGCCTTCCTCCCTCCCTCCCTCCCTCCCTCTCTCCCTCCCTCCCCCTAGTGCTGTTGTGTTTGAGCAAATCCTCACTCACTGTTACAAGAACTGCCTGGGTTCTTGCTGCTCTGCTGCCCATTCTATCATGTTATGGCTGCTTAGTGAAAAATAAGGACAATGCACAGAGTGTGCTTAATGTGGCCGACTTTGAGGGAGAACAATAACTGTCTTCAGCAATTTTTTGTTTGCACTGGACATTCCCAGTCCTTCGCTGGGTTTTAAACTTGTGTGTTTTTCTTCACATTTTTTTTCTCAAAAAAAGAGAAAATACATGTAAAGCAAACAAAGACAATGACAGAGCCTTTATCTGAGATAAAGGTGCTATAG